GTCTTCACCGGAAAACGCAAGCAAACAAAGACGATATAGCTAATCCCATGCAAAACCCTGGGGAGGCTAGCGGCCCAGCATTTTTAGCCAGATGTATGTTGCAATAGCGAGAAACCCCAGGTTGGGGACACAGAGTTAACTCATCTATCTAAAAAAATAACACCCAGGGCTTTTTTTTCCTACTTGGACTGAATTCCTGCCCTTTCCCTGGATGCAAAAAGGGCACCTTTTTTTTTGCAGCAAGACCTCACTAGCACTCTTCCCACCAACCTTTTATGAGGCTGGTAAAAGGAGAAGGCATTTTTGAATATTTTTTTTTAATGAAAAATGATCTAACTGACACCTTTAGTGGGTTCAGATGATATCCTGTATCCCCATCAAGTTGACACTAACAAGATTATGCAGATAAAACCCTTGATAGATTTGAAACGAGGCAATACCATCATGGAGGGAACTGTCTGATAATCTATTTGAAATCCAGCTCACTTCTCAGTGTTTGGTATTATCTGAGGAGTTGCTACAGCTCGACACTGTAGCTCAATTACTTGGGCTTTGTGAATCAGTTTATATCTGTGTCTGGCTTGATCTTTCGCTGACAGAAACCTGTAAATAGCTTAGTGTCTTTTTACTGGGAGCTGCCTATTGACTTGCTTCTTCTTCTGTTTCTTTTTAAAATAAATACATCGGTACTGTCTGCTATCTGTGCACAGACTCCCAATTGAGGCAAGGCAGCTGGTTATGTGAGACCTTCTCCTTAGCCTGGGAGGATGGCATGCTGCTCTCTGGAGAGGTCAAGTCTTGAAGCCTTCCCAATGATGAGTAACAACCATGGGTATTCAAAAGGCCCTTGTATCACCGGGATGGTGCTTTTCCAGCAGAGGAAGGATAGGCTCTTGGAGGACTGGGTCTTCTGCAGCCTTTCAGGAGGTTTGCAAAGGGATCTATCCAGTGGAGATGGTACTAAGAGGTTTCCACCTTCCCCTCTTGTTTCCTCCTTGTAGGACGGAGGTGGTGGAGAAGCCACCTTCTGCTACAGAGCTAGGAGCCGGGGCTTGCACTGCTGAGCACAGCTGTCTCTCGGCATCTATTAATTAAACCTCTCTCCTTCCCCCCCCAGCAGCCCCTTGCAGTGATCACTCATAAAGGAAACAGCCCTGCCCGTGCGATGCGCGCTAATTAATTTGTAAAGATGGGAAATGAGTGTTGCCAGTGTCGCTGCTTCTGCTAGGCTGGTCAATAGCCGTTCTAATCTTCCAGAAGAAATTAAATCTTTGCTGTTTATTTTTCCTAAGGGACCCTCTCTTTAATGTTAGTGTTAGTAAACAGATGCGGTGCGGTGTGCTTATAAGCGGTGATGTATTCCTCTCTTTAAATCATTAGAGTCCCCCAGTTAATACCTTGCTACATCACTACCATTCATCATCACAGAGGCTGAAAGAATCGCAGTGGCTCTGAAGCCGGCAGCCTCTGCACATGGTTCGCTCTCATGAGTCAAACGCCGAGGCGTACAGTCGGGCCAGGCCTCCTGGGTACCGTACCCAGCTCAGCCCCTGGCTTGCCAGGAGACCTGAAGCACGGCCACCTCTGTTTCTCTATCTGTATAACAAGCGCACTTGCCTACCTACCTGGCGGGGTGGTGAGTCTTAATTAATTAACAACAACAATGAGCCAAATCCTGATGCCCTTAATCAGTCCCGGGTCAGAGATACTCACCCTGTACTTTCTGCCTTAAGCCCATCTGAATCCCCCAAACAATACAGCTGGATCCCAAGCCTTAGGGACAAGCTAGCCCAGGATTTAAGTCCAAGATCCCTCGTCCCCAAGGAGCAAAACTCATCCTCTCATGCAAAATAATGTAGAATTGCATAGGGCAGTAACAAACAGGGTTTGACATGCATTTATCTCCTTTGTATGGGAACCACCTGAGCAAAGTCTCTAGCAGGAAAAAATGAGGCTCAGGATGCCTCTCCAGACAGATTATTTTTTGTTCTGCTTCCTATCCTGGGACCCTTCTCTACTGAAAGGATCGTGGTAGCTGTCCTCAGATGATCTGAACCCCACTGGACAGTCACCCTAGGACATTCGGTGCCTTGATTTGAATGTTTATAACACAACTCTCTCGAGATTTTGGGTCGCCTCCTGCACTTTGCTGAAGATTTTAGTAGCAGTGTACACCACAAAGAAATCAACATATAAATAAGCATGGCGGTGGTGTCCACTCAGCGGTGGCAGCCGAGGAGTCAAAACCATGAATTATCTCCCAAATTAACTGTGCGTGAAATTGGATAGAAAGAGCGGCTCAGCCCATCCTTTCTAGAGAAGATTTATGAATGGGCGATGTGGCCCCGCTGAAAGGCAACACGAGTGGAGGGAAAGTTACGTGATGGGCGATGAGGAAGAGAGGCATCTCCCATGTCATTTATCTTCGGCGCGCTTTTGCTTAGCTCTGGTATTTTTCTTTTTTTGCAGGAAAACCAAATTGGGATCAAAGCAAGCGTGTGCTATAGGAAACATGTAGGGTGGCAGCTTGGCCTCGCTGAAGTCAATTTGAGCTTTACCTCCGAGTCTAGTGGATTTTTCGCCCGTATAATTGAAGCAGGGACGATCACTTGCTATTGGTTTTTGCAAGCATGCTGCTAATTGCGTAGGAGGGATATCATTCTCTATTCCGTTCGAGTCAACAGGCTAGATACCACTTTCTGTGACGTGACGGAGGATTTTTTTTTTTTTGAGACGGGACCAAACCTTTTGCAATGGCTGTAAACTGACCACCAGCCCTGATAACGAACCCCAAAATAATCAGGGGGCTGCCTGTTGGAGTGTGTGCGTCTCTGAGGATCTTGTTTGCTTGATTAAGGATGTATGTGATATCTCCTCATCAGGCAGAACCATGTTATATAGACATCACTTTCTGGGCCCGCATTCAGTCTATTGTTGCCAGCAGTCATGCCTGCATTGCACATCTTGTAATACCTGGTGTTACAGCCCCGACTCTAGGGGGCATTTGAAGAAGTGAGACTCTTGGCTTTTATTAAAAATAAAAAATGAGTAAAATGCAGGAAATTTCTGGCCCATGTGTCAATGGGGCGGGAGGGGGGAAAGGAAGGATGATGCAAAGGCTCAGGAACCTGAAGGCAAAGAACCCCTAATTACATATATTTTTTAAAGTCATCTCATGGTTTTAATTGTCTGATTTTGGAGGCCCGATTCATGGCTTTGGACCCCGTGGGGCTGGCAGTGGCCAGCCGCAGATTCAGGAGAGAGAGGGGGTACGTGCATACGTGTGTCTGTTGGAAGAGAGGAGACCTGCTCAAGGACCTGCTCAAGGGTCATGTTGTCCTCCTGCGAGTGCATGTGTAGGCACAAAGAGGCCATCAACCGCTAGTCCTCTGCGTGGTGAAAGAGCTCTCTCCTTAAATCCCAGGGTCAGGAGTGGAGACTCGTGTTTCTCGGCACCGGTGGTCCAAAGTCCCACAGCCCATGTTCCTTTTGGCTGGAAGCCTTGTACACATATGACACAGGTGGGGCAAGCTGGGAACGATCTGAGCCAGGCACGCAGTGTGCTGCCTAGAGAAGTGCGGATGTGATGGGGAGGGAGAGATTTGGAGCTTTCCTGCAAAGATGCCATTTGGGCCACGATGCACAAGCCAGATGTTTCAAGGATGCTGCTGTCTCTCCCCGGGTCTCTCTGTGCAGCATGTTCCACCAGTCCTCTTGCGACCTGAATATTTCCCGTAATGATTCCCCGGAGGACTGTAATCCCCCGGTGTGCACTTTCCTCCTTGGCATCTGGCAGAAGGGGGGAAGATTGGCAATTACCACCATGCACTCCTAGGCGCCTGGAGATAACTCGTGCCTGCCACCTCAACTGAGATCCAGCAATCGTAGCACAATGCAGACCCAAATGAGAGAGGATAAGTGGATAAATGTCCTCAGCTCACCTCCAGCGACCTGTTTTTCAGCCTCGCTTGCAGCAAAACGTTTAGTATTCTCATCTTGGCCCTCAATTGAAGCTAGTTCACATCAGAAAAACAGCAGGGACGACACAGTTTGCTTGCTCTTCCGCCCACCGCAAAACAAGCCCAGGTAACCTTCGGTGCTGCCTGGAGCTTGTGGGCCGCCCCTGCTGCTCAGATGTCCTTTTGGAGGGGGTGGATGGCAGTCGTTTCAAGTTTTCTTTCCAATGAACTCAGATTGCCTGCAGGATAATGCCAGCCTTGGCTGCATTATTTTTTCCCCCCTCTCTTCAGAGCACAACCCAACCTTGGCCTTCCCAGTCCCCCATCTCCCCCGGCAGGGACCCCTATCAACTGGCTTGGAAAAAGCGTTGGGCAACTGAGGCAGGTAAGCCTAGCTGATAAACTCAGGAATACAAAGAATCCCTCCCAGCCTGGATCTCAGGGTGATCCTGAACTGTTGCTCACCAGGTCTTGGAGAAATCAGCTTCGATTTGCAATGAAGAAGGTGCAGGTCACAGATTCGGGAAAGAATAGCACAGCCCTGGAACGGGGGTGCCCGGGATGGTCTGGATTCTGCTTCACTGGACATTATCCAGATGGGTCAGAGAAACATCTATCAGGGAGGATCTAGGGGTACGGACCCTGTCTTAGTGAGCGGGGTTGGACTAGATGACCTCTCAAGGTCCCTCCCAGCCCTGAGTTTCTGTGAGTCTCTGAATGAACTCAGCACCTTTTTGGCATTTGGTTCAAAATGTGGCTGGGCCTGGATCAAAATCTCCTTACGGTCTGCCCATGTCTACAGATCTTGTGGGTCCACGTTCTCCTATGAGATCCATGTGCTTTGGAAGTACTGAATGTCCCCCGCCTCTATTGCTCCATCTCATGCAGCTCTGGTTTCACTTCCACACCCCATAGGTCTACTCATAGTCTACCATCCTCTGTCTATTGCTGTACTCCCGGGATACGTATCTTCATCCTACTACCGAAAATAATTTTCCTCTGACACATATAATTGCATGCAAGAAAGACTGGAACCATATCTGGAATTAATCATTGTTAATGAGAAGACATACAAAGGCAGTGTGTTTCAATGCTGGTATAAATTGTAGGTGCGTTGTCTTATGCTAAACACCTTGTACAAAGTCATCTCTATTCCTCCCTGCATTTTCTCTCTGAGGTTACAGCTGGGGCATTCAATAGGGCTGACGGGAACGTCGTGCTCTGAAAATCAAGGGGAGCCGGACACCTGTCTTAGGAGCCTTGCTGTTGGGAAATCACGGAAGTGAAAAAGCAGGCGGTGTCTTCAAGCCGCAGGGTGACTGAAAGGCAGGCATGAGGGAGGTGCCAGAGGATATTCTGCTTTCCTGCTGGGCCCTGCAGCATTGAATGCTCATGGACACGGGCACTAGAGCCCAGGAGGACGGTCACTGAGACGTAAGGAGCTTCTTCCCTGTGCTCTCCCGTGTACTGGGAAGGTGCCTGACTGCAATGCCTTAGTCCTAGAGGAGCATCTGCGATAGGTATCCGGTTTCCCTGTGCTCAGGGTGCTGTTGGCAGAGGATGCAGGGCGCAGCACAGAGGAGCAGGCATGAGCAACGTAGCGTGCATTGCTCCCAGTGCTCTTAGACCATCCCGACATGCCTGCGCTGGATGGTTCGGCACCCCTGCTCAGCCACCGCTGCTCTGTGGTTTAGCAAAGCCAGCCTCATATGCCGACACGATGACTGGGCCCGTTCTGGATGCTTGGTCCAAAAGGCCTGGGAGGGAGTCCTCGGTGAGACATCACTCTCAGGTAGCATCACGTCAGCCGTGCCCCATCCCATCCCAATAGACTTGTCTGAGGAGGAAGGGAAGAGTAATGGGTGTGGAAGGGGTGGAAGAAAGCAGCTCTCAGCTCCCAATGGCCCTTCCAGCCTCCATTTGCACGGGCTGCATGTTGGCCCGCAGCAGACTGCCACCCAACGGGTCTGTCCTTCCTGAACCTCCTGTCTTATGAGGACAGGAAGATCTTTGTTTGCACCTTTAAAACTTCTGAGACGCAGCTCTTCCTGCTCATCCTATTTATAGATTAAAACACATCAAGGACACAGCTCTTAGGCAGCTGATTTGTCCGGTCAAGAGATTTCCCCTTTCTAAGAGCCTTTATGCTGCCTGCTGGTGCCAATAAGCTATCATTTCCATTTAAAAAATGCGAGGACATCTGGAATCCGGCGCATATTTCTGTCTCCCCGCTTCCATCGCTCGATCTGAGAGTCTCACCCATTGCAGCTAAACCCTTCTGATCAGGGCTGTCCACCCCCCCTTTGAAAACGAATCCCTTGCCTCTTAGCTTAAGCCAATTGCTACAGGGGTCAAGAGGCAAATTTGTTTCGCATTGTACAATGGCCCAGGCACCTTCGGGAGATTTTGTTTTCTGTTCCTCAGAATTAATAGCGAATTCAAAAGACTGCAGGAAGGGGATTAATTCGGCATTAAATGTTTTAGGCTTTTAGAGGCATTTCAATAAAACCATATGCCGTTTCTAACATGACCATGTAGTGTCTCCCCTAATGGGATTTTCATTTGGGCTCATTTTAATTAGATACTTTATTCCTGACTAGGGTTGCCATGTGCTGTGCTGGCTTCCATTGGAGGAGAAATCAGGCTGCCGTGTACCTGAAACACATGCAGGGTGTCATAAGAACGGATGCTGTGGCTGTCCAGCTTTTGCTCTTTTTTCTTTATCTGCTCTGATTTTGGGTATACTCGGGAAGTAGGGAGTGTTTGCAGGCAACCAAAAACCCTGTTGTGCTGCTACCAATATATTATGTGCCTTCAAGAGACTGGTTAAGTAGCTATATGCATCACTATATACAATGTCTAACATGATTTCCCCCCCCAGGATAAGTAGTATGTATTACAATTATAGGATAATCAGCCTTTCAGCCCACCGGGTGTGTTGGCATTCAAAAGATGCTCTCAAAGTAAAGCATTAAAAGTCACGGTCTTCTCCCCAACACATATTTTAAGAAGCAATCCCGGCTTCTCTGCTCTGCACGTTTCTCTCTCTTGGTCATGAGTCTCTGTGGTTTGCTTGGACTCCATAAACTTCGGCATGACCTGGTCATCTAGTCATTTAAGATGGTATTGTCTCAACTGGGGTTGCGATTTATAAACTGCGCAGTTGTTGGCACAAAGGGAGATTTATACATATACACAACTGTGTGTGCATGTGTACAATCACCAGGAGCACAGAGTGAAGTGCAAGGATGGACCGTTTTTATGGCTTTGATTTGGCAACTTCTCTCTGTCCAGTAAGAGACTGACTGAATGAGCTAGTCCAGCAGTCAGCGATATGCAAGGTGGAAAGGCGTCTTGACCACAAAGGTCCAGATGCCAAATCCTTATCTGAGGTTTGGACTCGGTCTGACTTAAAGCAACGATCTCCTTCTCTCAAGCAGTTTGGGAGGCGTGAGAAAGAAAGTGTGGAAGGAGGAGGAAAAGGCACATGAAGACCTTCCATCGTAAGCACTGAGTCTGCATATAAAATACCCAGTGGTTTGCCCAGTGTTTCATGACCAAGAGCACTGATTTGCTGGCTCTCCAAACTAGAGGATCTCTGCTGAAAATTGATGTTACTTTATCAGATGCAGTAAGGCCACAAAATTGGGTTAATATACAGATTACATCAAGAAAATACAGGCGCTTTCTTAAGGTCCCCTGAAACATCTTCTGAAACCAGAGCTCAGGACACACTCCTAGATCTCAGTGCAGTTGCCTCTTCCCCATAGGAAATACTGAAAAGAGTCTGTGTTTTGGGTGCCAAAAGCGTCTGAGGTAGGGATTAGAGCAGTATAGTTTCCTTCTCGGTCATCGACACCGTCTTAGAGAAGCTCCTGTGTACAAGACTGGAGTGAGCAGTGTCTTCACTTAGGGCATTCACCAGTCTGGAGAAGACACTTATCTTGAATTTTTTAAAGTCCTGGCCCATGAAGACATAAAGGACAGGATTCATGCAACTGTTGAAAGTAGCAAGTGCCGTGGTGATGGGTATGCCAACTTCTAATACTGAGAAGGAGATTTTGTGGGGCTGCATTTCCAGGAAGTGCAGGATATGGTAGGGGCTCCAGCAGAGGAAGAAAGTCACAATGATGGTGACAATGATCTTGAAGGGCTTTTTGGATTTGGTGAGGCGGCTGTTTTTCAGCTTGCAGACAATGCGGATATAACAGAGTGTGATGATGGTGATGGGAATGACGAACCCTGTCAGAAACTTAGTGACAGTCACCATCTTGTGCCTCATCACACCCAGAGAGTAATAAGACTTATTACTGGACAAAGAGAAGTTGCTAAAACAAACCACATTTTGGCCGACATGCTCAGTGTCCCGGAAAATCAGGGATGGGGAACTCATCATGAAGCCGATTGTCCACATGATGAAGCAAACCAGACATGCCAGCTTGGGGGTTCGATGGTTTTGGGACCAGATGGGGAAAAACACTAACAGGTAGCGGTCGATGCTGATCGTGGTTAGCAAAAACACGCTGGTGTACATGTTGAGGTTCAAGAGGTAGGAGTTCAGCTTGCACATGGCTGTGCCAAATATCCAGTTGTACTTCATAGCTGTGTAGGCAATATTTAAGGGCAGGAAGACGCTGAAGAGAAAGTCAGCAGCTGCCAGGTTGAGAAACCAAATGGCATTGACAGACTTCTTCATCTTGAAAATTATGATTGCAATGACCAGACCATTCCCCACGATCCCCAGCAGGCAGGTGACAGTATAGATTACAACCGAAAGGATCCTAATTTCCTCTGTGTCGTGTGATGAGCTAGGCTCTGAGCTATACGAGCTGTAGTCGATATCCGAAATATTTCCATAGTCATAGTCATCTTCGGAGTAGTTGTAGACCTCCATTATCTGTAAACCAATTAAAGCAAGTTCAGTGCGGGGGTCTTTTACAGTGCATGCTTCCACTAACTGTCTGACCGGGAGGGTGAATCAAAGGAATTTGGGAGGTGCCCCAGAGATTTCAGTTTGTCAGGGCAAGAGCTCACTCAACGCCAAATTTCACGTTGGGTAGGGGGTGCACAAAAGTGGGCAGCTCTCAACAAGAGCAGCATCAGGGCATATGGATACAGACACTGATAGCACAGTGTCAAAAAGCAGGGTCTAAATTCAACATTGCAAAGAGCAGCTGTGGTTAAAGCCAGGCACATCATACATTTCACACAACGTTTCCAGGGGAAGCCCTGCCTTTGGATTTCCAGCAGCTTACCCAGCTCTGGCAAGGCAAATGCTATAGGTCTTGGAACAGAGCTGCTGGTGAGAGGACAAGTGACATTAATGAAAACTAGGACAGAGGGGTGGGGAGATAGGGAAAAATAAGGAGTTGACATGAGCCCCTGCTCCAAACTCCAAAATAATGCTCTGAAAATGTTTAGATGACATTATCCCTGGGTTATATCCGTGCACTGGGTTCTGGCTGGGCGTGGATGCTGGTCAATACAAATAGGGGGCTCCTCTGATTTTGCTCCAGTTAGGGTTTATTTAGGATTGTTCTGATATGACTGAAAGTGAAATTTAGCCTTCTTAGCCATAGGGCATGATTCAGAACCATTTCATTTGATTTGGGTTTTGTACTGAACCATCTCTTCACAAAACAGGTATAATTCTCTCCATCTACCACCCACAGGAGCATCTGGGGCTGACTTAATGGCTGCTCATTAACTGCTTTGAGAACCTACAAGGGCAAAATACTAGTCCTCGTCTCATCTGCCTTTATTAAATTGCACATTTCTGCTCCAAATTCTGCCCAAAGTTTAATATGCAACTCAGCTGGCATCAAGGGGGTTGTACAAACGTAATTAAGAGTAAAATTTGGCCCTGTAGAAAATGTTATTAAATCTCACCTTTTCACTCCAGTATTTTTTCAGCTCCGGTCTTAATGTGCCTGTAGCAGGGGCTTCATCCACTCCCCGAGCAGCTGGAAACGCCTGCAATACAGGAAAGATCTGATGGATTTATTATCCGACGCCAGGCAAACAAAGGCAGCCCTTTCCTGTGGATGCGTTCTACTTTGGGAAGCACATGCATGCGTAGCGATGTAACGTTACCACTTGGATCATGCAAAGGACATGCATCCAGTGGAAGAAGGAGTTTCAGGAGGAAGTAGATTTTTAAGCTTTAGTTAATCTAGCTAAAGTACAGCTGGAATTGTCTCAAAGCCCAGATTTCTTACACAGTGCCTGACTTGTCGAGCCAAGGTCCTTTCTGTTGGATGGATGCTTTAACACCCTACCCTGTATTAGGAAATCCAGCAGAGCTTCAGCTGGAAAGGACAATGTTATCTTCCGAGAAAAACTAATGCCATGTGTCTAATTCACTGCTGGTTTTAATCTGCTGACATCATTCAGCTCGCACAACAAATGAATTGAAGTCCACTGAAGTTGCTCTTTAATATTAAGACAACAACAATTCTCAAAAAACTCCATCAGCCCTCAAAGGGACAGACTTTTTTCCCCAACAACAATAGTTTCCATTGTTTTCCTTTCTATAGAACAGGAAATTACAGGTGCCTCAGATACCTATGAAAGGCAAACCTGGCTTAACTTTTTAAGGGTAATCCTACACCCCCTATCTACAGGGATACCCATTGCAGCTTTTGGTCATGTGTGCTCAATCACCGTCCTGTAGCTTCAGAGCAATGCTCAAATCAGGAAACATCCCCTGCATGTAATAAACTAGCTTAAAAAAGGAAACCATTTTGGAGCCAGTAGAACAACTTAAAAAAACACCAGTCCCAAACCCCTCATCAGGCCAATAGTTGCATTAGGATAAATAATTAAAAACATCAATAAATATGTGTGAAAATGTTGTGGTTATTCCTCTGATTAAATAAGTGCCTCTCGTATTTTAAATCTTTCATATGACAGCTCACACTGCCGTTGGCTGTAACCAAGTCCTGGCTTGGACCAGCCACTGGAAGGCCATGCTTGAAATGGGATCTTTAACAGGAGCATCTGACCGGGGCTAAAACTTGGATCGGACCCAAGCAATGAGAGAACTTGAGAACATGCCTGAAGCATTTCACTGGGGAAGGGGATGTGCTTCCTGCCACGCAGGATTTCCTGTGCTTGCCCATGTCAGCTCTGATGGCATCCAGCGACATGGGTTTACAACTGGAAGGAGCTGTGGGCCCATCACATGCAGCTCAGGAAGCCTTTCCCAGAGCTTCCCAAAGTCAGTCCTGAACCTTCCCCCACTTTGCACAGGCCGTGCATTGTGCAGCACAGGGTCTGAAAGGGACCTCGGCATCTTCCGAGGTCAGAGCTCTTGCACAAAAGCTGACAGCCCTTTGAGGGAAAGGGACACACGGATGAACCAAGCCTTTTAAACATAGTTCCTGCCATGCAAAAATGCATCTGGAGTCAGAGGAAAACATCCTCCGTGCCAATCAACTCTCAGCACCAGCACTGCTTTCAGCTAGTGTGGCTGCACACATGGCAGGAGGGTCCGCTTGGGACATGGCTCCACAGCCCAGCCTGTGGGCACAAGTAAGAGTACAGCTCCCAGACGAGGGCTGGAGGCCAGTTCTTGAGTACTTGGATCCTAATCCCATAAAATCTGTTGCTTTCTATAATAGGATCTGGCTGTTTGAAATGATTAGCCCAGAACAAAGATGCTCCCAAAACGTAGCCTCATCCCACTCCAGTGGCCCTTGATTCAATACCTCTGGAACCATTTGCAGTCTGAAACTTAGAGGCCACATCTCGAAGTCCTTAATGGGTTTTAACTCATTCACTGAATAAAGACCTCAGATTCTGTGCCACTGATATTCTTGGACCGCCAGCAGTGAGCCTGGCATAGGATAGGACAGCAGAAGGAGCAGACCTGCACCAACATAGTCTTACAACCCCTGTATACATCAGGAAACTAAATTCCTAGAAGGTGCAACTCAACCAAGGATAGTGGACTTACTCCTGCAGATATTTTGGCCCTAAACTTTCAGGTCCACTGTTGTCCGATAAGAACGGGAACTATATTTTGGGAGTGATTTGGCCGTTGGCATAAATTGTGAGTTATTTTTATACCCTCCAGATGTTTTTGGAGGAGGCACCTAACAAATTTCCACTTATTGCAAAGACGCCTTAAGACCATAGCATTTTTCGTCATGTTTCCAAAGAGCCTTTGCTGTTATTGTGAATGGAGGGGGTTTTCAACCCCCTCTGGGAATGTATCTTGGTCTCCACTTCCCACGTCACCCCTTAAAGCAGACTGAGGTGAGACATCCCAGCAAAGGAAACAGGAGACCTGGATTTTGGGTCTCCAGTGGTGGTGGGGGGGAGCAGGGAGAGTCTTTTCTATGCTTCTCCAAATACTGCACTGCTAAGCACCACTCCGTGATGTGCACCTTTCACTCGACTGTCTCTTTGGGGCACTTTTCCTGTTCCTCGTCTCTGTGGCCCTGCTCGCACAAAGGGGGAATGCAGGCGTGAATGACAGCCTTGTAGCTGGAAGGATTAAACATCCAATGTAGCAGATGCCGATGCTTGGTGCTGGGAGTGGGCTGTCCCTGACACCCTTCTGACAAGTCGTGCAGATGTGATGCTTATCTGCCTTACGTTCTTTGCACATGACTGCTCGATACCAACTGCTCTGTGCGCTGAGCAAAAATGCAGCAGCCAGTTTAATCTTCTGTTAGTGATGCGTATCTATCAGGTGAGCTCGAGTGCAGTAATGACTCAGTGCATAGCCAGACTTTCTGAAGCCTTCACAGCCCTTCATCTATCAGCACCATCAAGATGTGATTGCAAGGTGAGTGTGCAGCTGGGGATGTCTGAAATGTGGAAGTATCCAGAAGAAGATATAATATGCTGTCCTGTTCCTGTATTCCATCCCCATATTTTCTTTAAAGGCTTTCGCTCTTTCAACCCTCCAAATCACCTTCCTCTCCCATCTAGCCTCATCCTTCTCCTCCACCTGGTATCATCTTCTTTGGAAGTATATTTTCTTTTGTGCCTTTTCCACTCTTTTGTTTTTTATTTCTAGGCATCTGTTCATGTTCTTCAGAGCCTCTTGCAAGGAACCCTCTTGCTCTCTTTCAGGCTATTGCTACTAATGTTGTTATTACAGTGGCACCCAGAGCCCCAAAGAAGATAGGGCTCCAGTGAATTAGGCGTTAAGCCAGCCCCTAGGTAGACACAATGCAAACCCTACACATCTGACCATCTAAGAAGATGAACAAACATAATCAGAAGGGAGAAATGAATACACCACAATTTTTGCAGATTCCTATGTACTTGCATACACATAAACAAGACCTTGAAAGATAAGGTCTTCACGACTGCCGTTTGACCTTGCCATCACCTGCTGACTGATTCCTTCCAGACGTCAAGGCAGAAATGGGCCCTAACAAGAGATGTGGATGGAGAAGATGGCGTCTGCCCCATGGACCGATTCAAGGGGGAAGTTCCATGCATATGGTGCACGTGGAGCTGGGATGGGACAGAGTCATGCATGAGAGCCAAGGCTGGGCAAGATTTCAAGACGACTGAAGGTGACACAAAAGCAGCATCGAGGTCAAGAAGAGTGAGAATGGACATTTGCTGGTACTGCACCTGGTGGGTATTGACTTAATCGATACTGCTCATCTCAGGCATGTTGAGAGTGGTAGGGAATTCCTGGTGCACTTTTTGTGTTCCTCTTATGATTTCCTGTGGCACTGGCCTGCATGATGACATCTTTCATGCCCGACACCAAATCTGTTAAAGGAATCAAATTTATGGGCGTTGGGCAGACACTTTCCTTTGAATGGGCATTTCAAATAACTGACTTGCACTGATTTTCCCCTACCCAGTTAAAGCCCCACATTCTGCTGTGAAGCAAAAGTCACTTCTCTTTACTGCTTTGAATTCTCTGATGAACATTAGCTCAGCTCTGGTGAAGTCATCTCACTGGGATGGTTCAGATATTTGAGTGGTGCAGCTGATAATGCACCAGGGAGTCCATCATTAAAATCACATTAGGAGTCAACGGGCAGCTTGTAAGGGAAACAAGCTCTTGTCTTGGCACTTCTAATGGCTGTTACTTCACATTAGGAAATGATCATGCATAATTTGGCAAAGTTTGATGCAGCTGGTTGCCTCAGATGAGAAGAGGTCCAGCTTGGAGCTGGCCTGGGTTAGAAATAATGGTTATTTTTAGATAGGAAAATGAATGCCCACCCACACTGAAGCTGGCCAAATTGAAGATTGAGAGGGAGCTCCCACTGCAGCGGTCTTCCTCAGATGAAAGGTTTAGCGCCCTGGAAATAGAAGGCTTCAACCATCAGGCCTGTCTCCTACTGTGTCCCTTGCACTGACACTTGGAGTCCCTTCTGCACACAGGCCTGGCCTACTGCCTGTTGAGCCTTACTAGTGTGAATGCCTACACTGGAAACAAGGACAGGTGAAGCTGGGAAAATGCAAACCCTCCATCCCATTCGAAAGCATATCAGCCAGTGAGATGGATGTGTTGGTTGGCCATGGCCATCTGTGGGGTCCAGTGTTTTAATAACATTGGCCACCCCCAAAAAGTGGAGACACATCACTCCAAATCACACATCCAAGCATCCCTGAATGTTAAGGAGGTAAACTTGCCTAAAGCTGGATCCTAACTTCTGGTTAGCTCCCTGCACCAGGGACAGTCCACCTCCCAGTACAGAAACCTAATGAGGACGGTTGCTTTGCCATTCGTTCTTCTAGGTCGGCTGAGAGGCATGAAGACTATTAGCCTAGAATAAAGGCCTTTGACATAAGTACAGGCATCTTGACAGAAGTAGGTTCACTCTTGCCCATCCATGGGGGTTGTTTACGTGAAATGCAGGTTTTGCTAAGTCAAGATGAATTAAGAATATCGAGAAATTGGTTCAAAGGAGAAAAACAATATGTGATCTTGGCAGACAAAGACCCTCTAAGGCAAAACAAGCCATACAAGAAATAGCTGTTAAGTAAAA